AAACAAACATGTGCCTGGCCCTAGGTTCAATCCTTAACCCCATGTGAGAGAAAAAGTGGAAAATGTATATCTTTTTTTAACTAGAGATTTTATTATCTATAGCAGAGCACATGCAACCCCCCAAAAGGCTTCTGGATTTCATAGGCAGTGCCAACATTTAGTATTAAACATGCTGTGGAGCCATAGAGATGGCTCAGCAGGTAAAGGCGCCTGCTGTCAAGCCTAATGACCTGAGCTCAATCCGCAAGACCCACATGGTGAAAGGAGAGAACCAACTCCCACCATTGCCCTCTGACTTCCGTACACATGCCGTAGTGTGTATGCGGGTGACCACATAGTAAGTAAATAAAATTTAATTTTAGCTGGGCAGTGGTAGCACACGCCTTTAATTCCGGCACTCAGGAAGCAGAGGCAGGTGGATCTCTGAGTTTGAGGCCAGCCTACTCTACAGAGAAAATTCCAGGACAGCCAGGGCCACATAGAGAAACCCTATCTTGAAAAAAACAAATAGAGCAAAAACCCTTTTCCGTTTTAACAAACTAAAATAAACCCTGTGACAAATCAGACGTGCTTGTTACAATTCAAGATCAACCGCTAAGAAGAAACAAATTCTGGAGCTAGAGTGAGAAGCTAAGAGATAAAATGAAAGAAATAGTAAAAATAAATAGATAATAAGTAGCCTAAGTGAAAGCAGTCAGGGAGTGAGAGAATAAAGTCGGGGAGGACAAATGGAACAGGAATACAATGGTGGACTGAAACCCATCCACATCAGCAGTTACTGGATGCAACTGTTATGCTAATAATCTGACAAGCAGCAGCCTAGAGGAGAAAGAATTTATTTCAACTTAGAGTTCTAGGTTATAGTCCATCATTGTGGGGAAGTCAGGGCAGGAGTGTGAAGCAGCTGATCCCTCACAGTGAGAATCAAGAGCAGGGAGAAATGCGTGCGTGCTTGCTTGTGTTCAGCTTAGTTTCTCTCCATCTGTCCAGTTCAGAACCCCTTGTCTAGGAGTGGTGCCTCCTATAGTGGGCTGGGTCTTCCCATATCAACTAGTTAAGACAGTTCCTCATAGATAATCCCCATGTGTTAAGACAGATAATTCATTATTGAGATTATATTTCCAGATGATTCTAGTTGATAATTAAAGCCATCTATATCACGAATAAATCAAATGCATAGGTTAACAGATTACAGATCGGCTCTAGTCTTGGTGGCATACACCTTTTATTTCCAGTACTTGGAATAGGCAGGTAGATCTCTGGGAATTCCAAACCAGCTTGATCTACATGGTGAGTTCTAGGCCAGCCATAGTGAGACCTTGTCTCAAAACTAAACAAAATACAAACCAACTTACCAATATATCAATATACATTATATATTGTGTGTGTATGTATGTTGCACACTCTGAAACCCGTTCACTCTAACATGAGGTATTTGCACACATGTGCTCCACCACATCTTCCTGGCAATCCTCCATGACACAGAGCCATCCATGATGCACAGTTTAGGGAATAAGAACTGTGTAGAGTTCCCATCATGCCTCTTGCCTTGTGCAGGAATGGGCCGAGAGGAATTAGCATCACCCGTTAGTCATGGGTGTGCCCTTTAAGGGGACCTTTGACTCAAATATATTCAACTTCTTTGAAAATGGATGTGAAAGAAGCACCTCTCTATCCCTGTGTCTAAGCAGTGTTGCTAGGGTGCTAGAGAATGTAGCCTTTTAGAATGTCGAAAAGGTGGTGTGTATGGATTGGTAAGGACTAACCTAAATAAATACACTGTTCAGAGACAAAGGCTGGTGTGTGGATTGTTAACTTGTGTGGTGACAAGTGTGGTCTTCTCCGTTGCTGGTGCATGTTTGACGTTTATTACACACAACTCCTGTTCTCTAACACATTTGGCACATGCCCCGGTGTCTCCTTCCAGATCAGACTGTATTTTTATGTACATAGTTGTGTAGCGCATGCCTATGTGTTTTGGGGGGCAAACCCCCATGCAAGTGCAGAGACAGGAGCGGGGGGGAGGACATCAGATGGCCTTCTCTATCACTGCTTAATTCTCTTGAGACAGTCTCTCACTGACCTTGGAGCTAGGCCAGTGTCCAGCAGGTCCCAGCAGTCCTCCTGTCTGCACCTCCCACAGGCATACAGTTAGGGAGTTCTTTTCCCATGGGTGCTAAGAGTTAAGCTGAGGTGCTTATGCTTGGGCAGCAAGCCCTCTTTTTTTTTTGGTTTTTCGAGACAGGGTCTCTCTATGTAGCCCTGGCTGTCCTGGAACTCACTCTGTAGACCAGGCCGGCCTCGAACTCAGAAATCCGCCTGTCTCTGCCTCCCAAGTGCTGGGATTAAAGGCGTGCGACACCACCGCCTGGCACAGCAAGCCCTCTTAACTCCTGAGCCTTCTCCCCCACCACTTGGTTATTTTGCCATGCTGGAGGTAGAGTTCAATGCCTCAATTACTAAGCTGTATACACAGCCCCTCACTGGTGGCTTCTGTATATTGACTCTATCATTGAATATTGTGTGACACTATTTCTGGGAAGACATAACCAAATATCTACTTATCCCAGGTAGGGAACCAGTGACAACCCAGAAAGTCCAACCCGGTGAACCAATGAGTTTTATTGGAGTTAGTCACGGGAGTATGGTGTGGGGGGTGTGACTTACAGCAGGAGCAGAAATTAGTCAAAGACAGTCACATCACCAAAGCCCGCCCCAGCATGTGTGACAGCTCACAAAGCTGGGAACCTGGAGCACACTGCACAGCCTGCAGGCAGACCAACAGGTTAGAGAGTGTCCTTTCCAGATTGTAAGTTTAACTTTGTAAAAGTCTACTTTTAATGATGGTTCTTAAATGCTTTAACCTCCCTGTTAGCCCACCCACCAGAGGTAGTGGAAAGAAAGGATACGGGGGAAGTGGACCTGTTTAGAAAAGTTTTTGGACCAATTCCTGTGTCTGTGTTGTCTGGAAATCAACAGTTGAGACTGTAGGTTAGCAGGCAGCAGCGGCAGCTCGATCCGCTCACAAACACGTCACAGATACACCAGCAGTCCAGTTTGATAGAGTCAAGACAGCAAACACGAATTAGCAGTGGTGGCACTATCTAGCAGAGACAGCCAGGCCTCAGCCTTGGCTCCAGTCAGCAGGAGAGACCTGGAGGGACACCAGGAGAAGTTCTCAGCTGTGCCTCTCTCAGGGAAGCGAAGATCAGTGAAGACTCGAGAGCCACAAGTGTCGCACAGCTCGCTCTATAAGCAAGCCTAGCGCAGCCTCAACCACTGTCTGTCAAGTCCTATTTCTACCCCCCCAAACATCATGTGTCCTCCATGGGTCTGGCCTCAGCATGTGTGTCTGTCTCAGCTGACATCACTCTGCCAATCAGCCAGAGTCCAAGGAAGCAGCAAGAAACTGCTTCCACACCACCCAAAGTTTTTTGGTGTGTTTCTTTCTGTGGCGTCCTGAGAAATGTAGCTCAGCTACGCAATGTAAGGCAGACTAATACATGTGTGTTGTTATCGAAGACTCCTTCATCGTATGTCCTTTTAGGTGCTTGTTTTAGCAGAACACCCCCTCTCCTATGTCTGCTTCAGTGAAATGTTCCTTCAGGAGTCTGCCTGAGCCGTTTACCTCAGGAAAACATTCCTTTACGTGTTTGCCCCAGCAAAACACCTTCCAACACAACTACTTTCCAAAGAACTCTTGTTTCCACTTCACCAGGTGGTTTAATGGGCCTGAAGTCTGTCAAACTGGTCTCTGCTTCTGAGACCTCAGATGTGATGTGAGCTGATGTGAGCCTCTTCTCTTCCTTACTGCTTATAATAGTCTGGGAAAGGAGGGTCTAGTGAATTTGGCCAGTTTCAGGAACTTCCTAAAACTTTTGAGTTGTGTTGGATGGTAAAACCATGCCAGGAAGTTCGGTAAGATAGAGCAGGTTGAGACCCAGAGACTCAGTGGGCACATACCTGAGACTTAGGCGACTTCCTACTCACTGCCAGATTCCTGGCCTGGAACATGTGCCATGCTCCTCACATAATAGAAACATGTCCTATGGTCGCATAGGCCCAAAACAGAATTCTCCATGCTAATGAGGTACCTAGAGGCCCAGAGGACTTAACCAATAAGCTTCCTTAATCTCAGGTCCACTGAGAAGTGGGTATGGTACATCATGCATCCATTTTCTGCAGTAAACTGTTTAGAACCATAGACTTCTCTTTCATCAAGATCTCCGTGACTCCTCACGGAGAAGGCATTCTACTACAGAGTCACAGCAGCTTAAATTCTCTGGTAGAAGGCCTCTCTGCACTCCCAGCCAGAGCTGCCACCAAGCCTACCTCCACCAAGCTAAGGATAACCACCACTGGGACAAGCCAGAGCTCCCCCGAACTCCCGGCCCTGGGCTAGACACTGTCCTGAGTCTGAGAACTCCATGGCTCTGCCTCATTTCAGACCTGGGGACCCCCGAACCAGCTCCTGCTTTCCCACATCTCAGACTCTGCTTTCCCACCCATGAAGCAGTGTCCCAGCACTTCCTAAAAGCCCAACAGCCACCCTGGTGGTGGCATAGGATAAACGCAGTCAAACTCCTCGTGTTCCACCTCCCCAAGAGGCCGTGTGTTTGTGTACATAAGCACACATCAGAGGACAACCTGCAGGAGACAGTTCTCTCCCTCCATGTGGGTCCTGGGGATTCAACTCAGGTCGTCAGACTTGGTAGCAAGCGTCCTTACCTGCTGAGCCATCCCAGCACCAGGTTCTGAACACAGGCATTTTGGCCCTTGCTGCTACTTGGAACCAATATACTTCTCCACCCTCCTTCACCACATTTCCCAGGACAAGAGTGAACACGCCGGGAGATGGCCAGCATGTACTAAGGGCAGCTGGGAAGGCTGGTCCTGCTTATAGCCTAGGGCGGGACATCCTGGGGCGCCCAGAATGAGGCACACATGCCCCACTGCAAAGCGTGTGCATACGGCTGCATGCGGAGGGGAGTGGCCTCTTGATCTCACCGGGACAAAGTTGTATTTTTCCCTCTCTCATGGTGTCTATCACCCTGTCCTGCCTTCCCAGGTCTCCATCATTTCCTAGAAAAAAGAAGGAGAAAATGACCAAATTGCAGGTGAGTTGATGTTCATGTCTGCCGTTACATTTCCTCAGAGTGGGCACACTGTTCCCCAGGAAGGAACAGCAACAGGTATGGGCCGCATATGTATTAGGCACAAATAAAATTCTTCTTTTGTTTATTTTAAAATGTATTTGTTTATTCATGGGGGGGGGTGTGAACACTCCTGCCACAGTGTGCCTGTCAAAGTTAGAGGACAACTTCCGGGAGCCTAGTCCCTGGCTTCCACCATGTTGGTTCTGCGATTGAACGCAGGTAGCCAGGCTTAGGGCAAGCGCCTTTACCTGCCAAGCTGCCTTCAAAGCTCTTTTCTGTTTAGTTTGAATCGCTCCCCTTTGTAGGGGGTTGTTAATCTCCTTCCTTCCTTCCTTCCTTCCTTCCTTCCTTCCTTCCTTCCTTTCTTCCTTCCTTCCTTTCTTCCTCCCTCTCTTTTTTCCTTCTTTCCTTCCTTCCTTTTCTTTTTTCTTTTTGAACTAGGGTCTTACCATGTAGCCTGGGCTAGCCCCATCATCTGCCTCATATGCCTGAGTACCATGAAGACAGACACATCGTTTTTATTTTGTAAATGAACAATGTAAAAGAAAAAAGTCATTTAAAAACCACACACATCACTACCTTGCTTACAGTCGTCCCGCCAGGGCCATTTAATGCCACATTCCTGGCGACATTTGCTGTGGTACAACAGGGAATTGGACATCATTTCCAGTTAAAACAGCATTTAAAATCTTTCGATGCTGTCAGGGAACTGCGATGACCCCACCCCCTATATTAAACTATTCCCTCCCACACACTTACAAATTCCTGAGGCGTCCCACAGTTTGATGTTGCTACCTGTGTGTGGAGAAAATTTAAGAAGCCACCATAGCGGCGCGGTGGCCTGGGAGGGGCTTCCACTGCTGTGGCGGGTCCCACATTGGGGGGGGGGAAACTCTATGGTTCCAGCAGCCTGGGGGCCTTGGCAGCGACAGGCCCCAGTAACACGAGGAAGTCTTTGGTTCCAAAAAGGTTTATTGTCATGGCAGATGATAGATGGATCTAGGCGTACCCCCCAGAACTCAGGGCAGTCCCTAGTTATATAGGGAGGGAGAAAGGGGGAGGATTGGGGGAGGATCTGGGGGGAGGCATGTTTAATTTGCTCTGCCCTCTGGCCTTCATTAGTATGTAAATCCCTAGGGCCTGAGGCCTATAGCCTGACCTATGTAATTCTATGGAGACCTGACTGCTTTTCAGGATCCTGGGTTCTGGGGGGGCGCCAAACTCCTGCCGGTTCTCATGCAGAATCCCACCCAGGATCTGCAGAGTCTCGGGGGTTTTAGGCACCTGCTCCACAGTGACCCAGGATGCCCTTACGCAGTCCCACACCTGTGGAGAACCTTGACTCATAAAAAAAAACAAAAAACAAAAAACAAAAAAAACCAGCTTTGGGGTTGGCCATGTAGCCCAGGGCACGGCACTTGCCTGGCATTTGTCAAAACCCCACGTCCATCCGTAGCACACAGTGATGAGGACGAAATTGTGAAGGCAGTCTGAGAGGCTCACTTGTGCATAACCTTCTAAAGACTCAAAACTGTGTGTCTGAATGTACATACATGTGTCTGCGTGCACACACACACATGCATATGTACCCGTGGGTCTATAGCCCTCAAGTGACAGCTGAGATAGTTTATTGTCCTCTTATTTTACTTTAAGGTTTATATATTTTTAGTTTATGTATATGAGTGTCTTGCCTGCATGTGCAACATGTGTGTGCCTGGTATCCATGGAGACCGGAAGAGGGCATCAGATGTCCTGGAACTGGAGTTACGGATGGTTCTGAGCCACCATGTGGGTGCTAGGAACCAAATCTGGGTCCTCTACAGGAATAGGCAGTACTGTTGAGCCCCTAGGTTGTTTGATTGTCATCTCTGGGACTCTGGAGAGTCCATGGGTGAGGCCCTTGCTTTCTGGGTCAAGAGAGACAGCCTTGTTGTTTGGGTGGAAGGGCTGAGTGAAAAGGCAGAGCACAGAGGAGAGCAGGGCAGAGGAGAGGAGAGCAGGGCAGAGCAGGGCAGAACTCTTCCTCCACAGCCAAGGACAAGATGCTCAGACACTCCTCCAGAGCTGGTGCAGGCTTGAATAGGTCTGTAGTATAAACACTTAGTTTTCCTTATAGTGAACCAATATGAAAAGTGTTTACAATGTAAAGGGAACTGAGAGCAATCACATCCGACCAGTGGGTGCCACAGAAAGAATAGTCACGGTGAGCCAGGGCCAGCAAGATGGCTCCGCAGGTAAAGGAGCTAGACCGAGTTTAATCTATGGGACACACACCACAGGAGAGAAACTGACTCCCCAAGTTCTCCTCTGCCCTGCACAAGTGCACCATGGGATGCCTGAGCTCCCTGACACACACTAATCAGTAAATAATAACACTGAAAAAAGAGAAATAGTAACTGCATGGAAAGAGAGTATTTACTACCAAACTGATCGGTGAGATCCAGGTTCAGTGAGAATATACTGTCTCATGGGAGGAGACGGAGGGGCGATGGCTCAGCAGATAAAAACCCTTGCCACAGGGTCTGGATGACCTGAGTCCAACCCTTGGGATCTGTGTACAAAGCCAGATGTGATGCCCATCTGTAATTCCAACACTCCTATGGCGAGACAATAGGAAGATACAGGAGAACCAGCTGGAATCCAGCAGGCAGGCTGGCCTGGAGTACATGGTATGGCAGAAACGGCAAGAGAGACTGGACGCTACTCCATTCCTCAAGGCTGACAGCCGGAGCCAGCTCCCAAAAGACCTCTACGTACACGCTGTGCCATGAACTTGCCAGGAGACAAGCCTATGTGTGCGCACGAAATGATAGTCATAATTCTTTCTTAAGATGCAGAGAATGGAGAAAGACAGTGGTGTCAGCTTCTGGCCTCCAGATGTTCATGCACAGGTGTAAACATGTGCACACACACACTCACAGATGTGTGTACCTCCACATGAATGCATGTCTTTCTTTTTTTTTAGGTTTTTCGAGACAGGGTTTCTCTGTGTAGCCCTGGCTGTCCTGGAACTCACTGTGTAGACCAGGCTGGCCTCGAACTCAGAAATCCGCCTGTCTCTGCCTCCCAAGTGCTGGGATTAAAGGCGTGCGCCACCACCATCCGGCTAGCATTCGTCTCTTAATTAGGGTTTTAACGGCTGTGAACAGACACCATGACTCTAAAAAGAACATTTAATTGGGGCTGGCTTCCAGGTTCAGAGGTTTGGACAATTATCAAGGCAGGAGCATGGCAGCATCCAGGCAGGCACAGTGCAGGAGGAGCTGAGAGTTCTACATCTTCATCTGAAGGCTGCTAGCAGAATACTGACCTCCAAGCAGCTAGGCTGAGGGTCTTAAAGCCCACACTCAGTGACACACGTACTCCAACAAGGCCACACCTACTAATAATGCCACTCCCTGGGCCAAGTATTTACAAACTATTACAATATGGCACCCACACATGTATATGCGTCCACACATATGCGACACACACACACATACATGCATGCACGTACGCATGCATGCGCACGTACGCATGCATGCACACGCACGCACGCACGCACATTCCTTTTTGCTGTTTGGCCCTTATGGTCGGTGGATCTAGCCAAGTAGAGGGCAAGCAGAGGCAAGATTAATTCAACCTGAGAGGCCGAGTCCCACACGGCTTCTCCCCTCACGTCTCCCCAGCACCACATCTTTCTTCTGTAGTCACAGCCTATGTGTGTTTGCTGTCACAGGAGATGGTGACGTTCAGGGACGTGGCCGTGGTCTTCAGCGAGGAGGAGCTGGGGCTGCTGGACGCTGCCCAGAGGAAGCTGTACCACGATGTGATGCTGGAGAACTTCAGGATGCTGCTCTCAGTGGGTGAGGACGGGGAGCTTGGGGACACCTGAAGTTATTCTCCGTGCTTGGCTCTCTGATCGGAAGCACAGAAGGGTTCTCATGGCTACTTCCAGGAAAATGTCTGCCTTTTGAGCTGTGTATTGGAGTCCTGGGTTCATTGTTGTTGTTGTTTTGTTTCTTTGTTTTTTGCCAGCTTGACACAAGCTGGAATTGTCTGGGAAGAGGAACCTCTCTTGAGAGAACACATCCATCAGAATGGCTAGTCGTTGCTAGGAAAGGAACCAGGCCACAGTGGGCAGTGCCATCCCTGAGCCACCCCTGTGAGTTGTATAAGGAAGCAAGCTGAGCGAGTCATAAGGAGCAGGCCAGTGAGCAGCACCCTCCGTGGCCTCTGCATCCGTTCCAGGTTCCTGCCCTGTGTTCCTGCCCTGGCTTCCCTTCACGATGGTCTATAAGCTAGAAGATGAGATAAACCCTTTCGTCCCCAAGTAGTCATGGTGTTTATTGAGGCAACAGGAAGCAAACTAGGACAGTGGGCACGCTGTCAGCATTGGTTTCTGGAAACCCATTTAGCATGTTGTCCAGCTTGCTTTGTTTTATAGGGCGTATAGCAGTGACTATTTATTAAGCCGAGCCTCTAGGAGTTATTTTAAAAATAAATTTAGTGTGTGTTGTAGTTAGGGATATACTGCCATGAAGAGACACCATGACCAAGACAACTCTTACAAAGGACAATATTTAATTGGGGCTGGCTTACAGGTTCAGAAGTTCAGTCTGATAGCATCCAGGCAGGAGCATGGCAGTGTCCAGGCAGGCATGGTGCAGGAGGAGCTAAGAGTTCTTTGTCTTGATCTGGTGGCATGGAGGAGTGTAAAGGTCGTTTCTTTTGTAACTGCTGGTTCTGCTACTTTGTAATGGCCCCTTCTGTTGCTTGGTCCTCAGGTCAGGGTCTAGCAAGAGAGAGAGAGTGGGGACGGAGGAAGGGCGAGAGACTCAAAAGATGGATACAGGACAGAGTCTGGTCAAGTCTCTTCTTTATTCTCCTATATTCTCCTATATTCTCTCTTATAGAAAGGAAATCCTGGGTATTTATACCCTCTACCACGTGACTTGCCCTCGTGGACAAGCTCAACTGAAACCACTACATCACGTGCCTTGTAGCCATGGGTACCAGGAGCACCTTGCAGCTGGGGGCACTAAACAGTGTAACAAGATGTTTATCAGAGTGTGTTCAGCTATTGCGAGCTGTTGAAAACAAGTCTCTTGTCAGGTTATATGGCTCCAGATGGCTGTTTAAGATGATAGCTGCTTTCAGCTAAGAGTCAGCTCCCAACAGAGGAGAAGACTGGCATCCTCAGGCAGCTAGGAAGAAGCTCCAAGCCCACCCTCAACAGAGACACACTTCCTCCAACAAGGCCACACTCACTCCAAGGCCACTCCTCCTAACAGTGCCACTCCCTGGGTCAAGCATATTTAAACCACTACAGTGTGTGTGTGTGTGTGTGTGTGTGTGTGTGTGTGTGTGTGTAGCCTTACATGTGTGCCATGTGAATGAAGGTGCCCACAGAGGGCATCAGATTTCCTAGAACTGGAGTTACAGGTAGTTGTGAACCATCGTGTGGTTCTGAAAATCAAACCCTGAGTCCTTTGGAAGAGCAGCCAGTGCTTTTAATTGCTGAACCATCCCTCCAGCTCTGGAGCTCCCTTCCTTCCTTCCTTCCTTCCTTCCTTCCTTCCTTCCTTCCTCCCTTCCTCCCTTCCTCCCTTCCTCCCTTCCTCCCTTCCT